TCGACATTCTTGGTCAATTCTGAAGCTCATTGCTAGTCATCGTTCCAGGGTGTTACAGACACGATGAAACTTCATATCCAACGGAATCCGTTTGCGTGCTTCATTCAAACTGTCCGATGCATATGAGATACACGCATCGTTATGAGATCTCAGATTGTGCATATAGCAGGCGCAAAAGCATTGTTTATGTCACACTTGAGAGTATTCCAGTCAGCGTTTGGCTAGAAACCTCAATCACCACTGACAACTCGTGGACTAGTTACCATTGAGATCGTTGAAATAGGGACTGTGATTTCAAGTTAAAAATGAGAAGCTTACAGGTTAGGCGCTTCTTTAAAACAATAAGTGAGCGCCAGGCGTACGCGTACTAAAGCATGATCGGAATCCAGGCACGTACTCCAAATTGATAGTCGTGAAGAGATGTGTGTGTGATGGTCAAATTGGATTCAACTCATTGAGGAATTCAGTGGGCACTAGGTGACGCGATATGAACGATTGTGCTGGAATGCAGTTTTTCTAATATGAGGATTGTGATCTGTTCATACTTGCAGGAATTGATCGTCCTTATTTGTCCGGTGTGCATCAACCCCAAGAGGGACTACTCCCAGGTGCTGGTCAGAGTCAAAATAACAACCCACGAGGGTATTCTAGTAGCAACAGCGATATTAGTATTTTTCGGAATACAGAGAACAAATGAAATATAGTGACAGAAATCGTCTTGATTATCTTCCAAACTGCAGTCAGTGGGTATAAACGGAAGTGATGAAAAGGTAGCGTATCTTCAGACGGTGCTTACTAACACAAATAGAGATGCGAAGTCAAAACGCACATGTGAAACTATTCCCAGAGATCCAGTCCAGTAGAATGTCTTCAGCACGATTTCTTCAGTACGATACCGACTCCATAAGTAGCTTGAGTCATTGATTCAGTACTGTTCTTCTCTTACCCTATCGGGGCATCGGTTGGAAGTGGTCAACAAATTCATTTATAGTACTGATGAGTAGTGAGGATTTTTGGTATAATTCAGCCAATTCATCATCGCCACTCCCAATCAGCAGGTTTAGGCTAGTCTGGAAAAGCACCAGACGCCGGTATTTCGACCTTATGGGTCGCGGCAGTGGTGCGCCTCCCAGCGGAACCCTGCCGAATTCCGCCCCCATGACTTCAGGACGCCAGCAGCTAGTGCCACTTCGCCATGGATGACAGCCGTAGACCTGCGTGATTGACAATTGACTTGGATATAGCCCGGCTCATATCAAAGTCAACTGTCAATCAAGCAGGCCTACGGCTGTCACCCATGTCGAAGTGGCACTAGCTGCTAGCGTCCTGAAATCATTGGGGGCAGAACCCAGTTTTGGTCGGCTGGGTGGCGCACCACTGACGACACCCAGAAGATAAAAATACCGGCGTCTGGTGCTTTTCCAAACTAACCTAAGCCTGCTGATTGGGAGTGGCAATGATTAATTAGCTGAATTAGATTCATTTATCTTGGGAGTTATTTTAGTATTGGCGATTTGACAATGAGATCTTTCTGGGTGTTTCCAAAGCTAGAGTCGCTTTCGCTAACTTTCGTCACCTGTGGATTCGTCGTGATCACAGACTCGCTCTCAAGGGACGAGTCTATAATGCTACGGTACGAGCGATTCTGTAGTATGGCTGTGAGACTTGACGCGTTCGCAAAAGCGATGTTTAAGGGCTATCTGTCTTCGACCACCGTTGCCTGCGAAGTATTACTGTTGTTCGATGGCAGCACAACATCAGTAATGAGGAAATCCGTCGGCGAGTCTTCAGATCTAGGTAAGTCCGCCGATCGATTGATAGCATCATCTCACTGCGGAGGCTTCGCTCGCTTGGCCATGTGCTTCGCATGCCTACCCAGCTGCTACCAGGATGAGCCCTATTTGCGAGCACAGGCGTGGCTTAGAAGCGACGAAAAGGAGGGCGATGTAAAACTTGGATCCAATGTGTTGAGACGCGAACGATGAAGCTGGCTGTTGTCCCGACTCCCGGGTTAGGGACCAAAGGACCCCGAGCACACCTGGTTGCAAACGCTGGAGGATATGGCCAAGGACTGTACGCAATGGCGCACTTGCTGTGAGACTTTTCTACCCTAACAGTTGTTTTCCCTTTCATGCTATCTTTTCTCTTCTTATGTGTTGTGGCACTTAGCCAATTATATTGTAATTGGTATAGTATTTATATATATATATATATATATATATATATATATATATATATATATATATACTGTCAGAAACAAGAAGGGTAGTAACTGTCGACAGATCCGGAATGCAAGGGTCGAAGATTACTTACGGCGCTAGTATCTAACATGGGTGTTTCGAAAACAACAAACATTAATACCAAAAGAGTGAGAGTTAGTTATGTCTGCTAGCCAATCTGGTTCAGAGCGCAGACGTTGAAAGAGGCAATGTGAACTGAGATCCTTGATTTGAAGGAAAAGTCACTTGGATCGATAGCAACAGTTGCTAACTTATCGGACGTCACTTGCTCAAAGGATAGGGAAGCACAGTTGCGAAGGTGGAGAAAATCAAGAAGGAGAAATAGGCATATGGACGACAGGATCGCAAGAGTAGATGGTGCTCTTCCGCTGCTCCTTCTGAGAGGTGAAACACAAAGAGGGAGTCACGGAGTAATATTCAACTACATATTGTTAAAAGTTTGACCACATAAAAGATAATCGGACGGTTCAAAGCGTGTGTAAAGCGAGATAATTCGATGCAGGAAAAAACACTGATATCCATGATAGTTGAAGAACCAGGTGTATGGTTTTAGCAAATGAAGCCAGAGGAGAGTGCATTTAAAGCATCCCACATCCAAGTCAGTGGATAGTGAGCGGCGCTATCTCAGATCTAGTAACTAATTCACGATGGTCGTTGCCGTCCCCCGTAGCTCAGTGGTCTCAACCACGGATCGGTAACAGTCGAGTTGCGGGTTCGAGCCCAACCAGGGTCAAATGGAATATGCACTGCTAACGATTCCTCAAAGGATGAAACAGGCGCACAGTGCTTTTCCGGGCATGTGTCGGCTGTATGAGTGTGGCTAGATGTGACGAATTTGTACCTTATACTACACAACTCCTACTCCTCCTCTGTAATCCTACAAATTGTCGAGCCTAAAAAACGTCTCACGTGTTAGAGAATCACCCAAGATTAATAGCAGGAGCAGTTACATGAGGTATTAAGTGGGAGGATTGCTCCCTGCAGAATATCACTCGACAAGGAGCATAGAAGAGTTTCGAGGTTAAACTGGGTGAAAAATGCGCGATCAAGCAAATAGTCACAAAGCAAATTGTGCACAGTTAGAAAAACCCGGTTCTCAAAAAGTGGTATCTAATGTAGAATGTTGAAGTAAATAAGCTAAGACACTCTCGGCATGGGAAGCCATTTTTGAAGATTTTTTTAACAACACAGGGAATCCGGTTGACATCTATGAGACAACTTCTCACGCACTCGTCTGATTCCGATCAATTTGCGAATAACGAAAAGTACAATAATAACCAGGCGAGGGAATAGTACAAGCCTTTTAAAAAATGCTGGCGATAGGGTCCCCGAACGAGTAGCTTCATTTCACTTGTGCCTTCTGAGCTCCCTGTAAACATAATGCTGAACAAACAGGACTGCCAAACCCGAACTTGAGAGGGAGAGCACGAAGAATGTGCTCGATGTGGTGGGGGATAAACTCAGCAATGAGTTCGCGCACACATCCGGTGTACCAAAAAACTGTTCCCAAGAAACGGCATCGTAGAGATACTTAAGAACAGAAAAAGAAATATCATAGCATCTGTGATTACTCAAGCCAGCTTCGATATGCAAGTATTGCCCAAATGAGACCACTGACAGAGTTGTGCATTTTGTATTTTTAAGCCTGATGCTTTCTTCTTCTTCTTCTTCAAAACTGTGTCGCAATGAGTGAACAGGATTGGAAGAGAAACAGAGCTGCTAAATGGTTAATGGAGTGTTGACAAGTGAAGTGTAAGCAAACGGAAACTGTACCACCTACATGTGATAAGTGTGAAGCTGTCACAAGGTTACATCGAGGTTACCGTGTCAGAAATATGATCACCTGAACAATCGGAAAGAAGAACGCCTAGCGCATGAGCGTCCACAAGATGCTGCAACATCTGCGACTTTGTGTGACTAAGTAGAGAGGGATTAGCTGGTAACAAACATGTAAAATCCAACGTTCAGCTAACATACAATAGTGAAGAATACAGCGTATAATAAATGTTGTCCATGTCGTTTGAATTTGAGGGCGCAGTCAAAGGTCGTATGGGTAGAACTATGAGTTAATTATGCAGATCACAAAATGAAACAAGGATCAGGATTTATATGATCCAGAACCCAGTCTACAACCCAGATGGAATATTGCAACAGTTAGGTCCCTAGAGTCGACGTCTTAATCTTTCTCTCTTCCTCTTACCTTCGTCAACGACAAAGTTGTAATGTGTTATGGGGGAGGAATTCATTCAAACACACGTCCACATTCCCTGTCTTCAGTGTCGAAGTTCCTACTATTTGTATTGCAGTTTACTCCTATGTTTATCCATTAAAGGTGTACTCCTCTTGCTCCGGTTTCATGTGAGTGCCACTAGCAGAATTCGATACGAATAAATAGTCATGAACAAAACAGCCATCAAATGTGCTAAAAGAAAATTGACACCCACTTTATACAATTCCGTATTAATATTCTCAAGCGACCTATCAAGCTCGGCATTGATATCCTGTACAACATCACATAACACAATGAAACAACAGGCAACTTTGATACTCTATCAAAATTGAAAAAAGGTTTTTATTACTGTTGTACATTTTTCGATCATTCGTGATCGTTGAGCTAGAAAATGTTTTACTTACCTGAGTATGCCGTCACAGGCGTGTCTCCCAAAAACGAGAATATACAATTTAGTTATGCAGATATAAGATAACTGTCAGGAAGTGATGAAAGATCGTAGTTTTCCAATGGGTAACACTCTAACTCACTGTTCAATGGAGCCAGTTCTTCAGACAAACCGCCGGGCAGACCATCTGATTCAGCGGTAGGACAGAGCACGCTCAGTCCACAAGATTGCAAAATGAAGCAGGCGAAGCGAACCCATTCGGTTGGTCCGCTGAAACCAGTGGCTGGGGATAGGTTCGTGTCCTCCGACGCCGACATGACAAGGCTTCCGGGGGCGTTGATATAAGTGTACCAACGAGCCAAAAGAGAACGGCAGACTTCCTGTGGAAGACTCAATTGCAATGCGGCCAAGCAACGCTGAACTAGTAAAGAAGAATCCGATTAAAATAACATCGAGAATCAAGTTGAAATAAGCAGAAAGTTGAGCCATCATAGAGGAAATGAGTAAAGTTAGCGATTCGACGACTGAGATGGAATTGATATAGATGTAGTAAGGAGAAGTAAGAGACGCAATCCAAATACGTTAAAAATTGAATCAGTTTAAAATAATCAAACCTTTTCAGACCTGCTGTAAAAATTAATAATGGATGTCAGTTAGTGTCAACTGGAACCAAAATAAACAAAGAATCGTAAATAAGTTTAAGAATTGGGAATGTATTTGGAAGATTGTAGATGGAAAAGCACAATGACCGATAAAATTAAGTTTCTGTGATTCTGCTAAGCCAGTCGCACAACGAGCCCGATCAAAGGAATAAAAGGAAGAAGGATACTCGCGAGGTAATGTATTGTCGAGGGAACAAAAACTCCAGTAGACTGGATGTAACTGATCGAACATGGAAAACCTACAAACTGTCCTGCAGTGCCCGCAGCGCCATCAACCCTTCTGATATCGAAGTTGGAGGACGAACACAAACTTGAAAAGGTACAATGTGGATGAAAAGCATAAAGCCGTCTGTATAAAAACTTTGACAAGAAACACCAAGTTGTCCCGACACGTAGCAGAACGATTAAGGCGGTCAACAAGACTTTTATGTCAGTTAGTGAACAGCTAGGGTAACTCCGCATTATAGGACAATACGGACTAATTTTTGTCAACGTTCAAGAAGCCCAAGTAAAAGATACACACGAATTAACTCAAGTTGGCAAGGTTCAGTCTGGAAGCGATGAGATAGGTCGCAAATGCCAGAAAAAACCTATGCCACCCCAAGTAAAATAAATACCCAGGACGAAAGCTAATAGCTGTTCAGAAAGAAAAATAGCAAAAAATCAAAAGGACGCCGGTTAGGCGGGATGCGAAATCGACTGTCACGTGAATCCCCGAACACACTGATCCACTCCGGTGGAGCGTGGTATTCCAGCAGGCTCTTGCTGTAAATATGGGAAGGACTGAGCCCTATTTGGTATGAACTGAGTAATCAGTCACCGCTTTACAATGGGTGCAATTCCATTGTGAAACAAGGTTATCAGCTGTCGTCATTTTTTTAACCGCTGTTGACCAAGTCATGGGAACAGCATTCGCTGGACAAGACTTGCAAGGGGTGTAACTGTTTCCTGGTGAGCGACTTGACTCGGGGTATGCTGACGACACTGTGACAGCTCCCAAAGGTGTCAAGCAGCAATGGACAGAATAGCACTGGTTGTCGATCATTTTTGGCTTTGCTTTGCACCCTCGAAGTGCAATGCTTTTATTCAAGTGTGACAGGCTATAAGCCGTTCAGGAAATCAAGTGCATGGGTAGCGATATTAGCGTCCGTGGCACTGAAGATGAGGTAACGAAGTGTATAGCAAAAAGCTCGAGACGTTTTCGCTAATCTCCCCCAATTGTGGCGCCGACGCGACATCATTCTCACTCCGAAAAAAGAGAACTTACAATGCAGCTGCCTTCCCAGCTTGGCTCATGTCTTATGAGAACCATACGTGCGTAATGAACGCGTTCGGCGTCGTGCATTTGATACAGGAAGAACGAGCGATCCGCTCAGCACCATCATATTACGCATCAGGCTCCGATGGCTAGGTCACGTGTTGCGCATGCCAGCACACCAAATCCTGCAACGTGAATTGTTTGCGTGCCGGGGTTTGGAAAGATGAGAAGGAGGGTAGCCCAAGCAATGGCTTGGTCGAGAGGAATGGAAACGCTCACTTTGAAGATGGCGTCGATTGGTGCCTCCCGACTACTAGGCTAAGGTTCCAAGGACGATTAACACGTTTGGGTGAATACACCTGCTGATATGGTGCAAAGAGCCGGTCGCAATGGCTTTGTATTGTGTTTCTTTGTCCATCACCATCCTCTTTAGATTGCACCTAAAGATACGATCCAACACCAAGTGCATAATGCGATACTTAACATTATATTACTTGTATGTTTGAAGATTTTGTTGTTGACTCTAACCTTTGCTAATTTGTTTTTCTTGTTTTGCGGCGCATTAGCTGAAGTGAGTTTCCCACTCTCAGCTAATGTGCATTGATGCTGATGATGACTGCAGATAATGGGCCGTCAATAAACGACGAGCGCCTCGCCGGTCTCTTCGCCAACCACAGAAAGTGAAGGCCCGAGGCGACGTAAGGGTTTGTGCACTGTATATGGCTAACGGTGTACTGTAGCGTATTAGTGTGCGAACCACAAACAAAGAAGAAAGCGAAATCGAATGATCGAGAATGTACACAAAACAAAATGTTCCTCACCCATTTCGTTTTCAGACAAGTCGGGCAGGTAAACTCGGCAAAAACGCCTCGCTGAGTCTAGACCTCCGGTTTGTGCAGAATTGCTGCCGCTAATCGCGTCATCTAAACACAATGTGAACGAGTTGCCCGCCGCGTCACAAAGCGAACATGATCCGCTAGGCAGGAGCCCGGGTGCGATGGTTTCCGATGGCATGGGGGGCTCGATTCCGAGAGGCAGTATGACACCTGAAGCACTATTGCTTTTGGAGGATGAAGCACCAATGTGCTAAAAGTGACAGGGAAAGAATAGCGAGTAAACTGAAACAAGCTGTGATGCGATGTAAAGCACAGTGGAAACGAGGAAAACCACCCGAAAATTTAGGGTGAGAGAAAAAGTCACAATGTAGGTGTGTGATGGAAGAAGCCGTCTTGATTCACATTGGGAAAATAATCGTACAAAGGATGATGAAAGGTAATCGACAAAGACTAAAAAAGCCAGTTGCATATCGGGGAATATATCTAGTTGGACACAGTAGCTACGTGAACAAGCAGGAGACAGGGATAAATTTTGCTATGAGCATAGAACACAGCGAGGGCCAGTCGTGAAAACATTTTGAAATCAACCAGATGGCAAGCAGAAGGACGGATAAATTGCGAGACTTTTGAGGTCCAGTGAACTACCACCAAGTGCTTATGGTGAAACGAGCAATCCGGGGTGAGGCTAAGGTAAGTTGACTAGGGTGAGAACACGGAGTCAAGTCCTCGATTAAGGGCAGGGAAATAGAAAAGTGGCCTACCTGATAGTTTTGTGAGCCGGCAGATGAAGGTGCTTGCTCCAGCACTTGTCGGACCATCGACTGAATACCATCCAGTATACGTGAAACATCTCCCCGGTCCATAAGATCTAGTGTGGACGACGAAGGACGAATAATGAATGGAGTTCGCACAGGATGCTTAGGAGTGCGTTCCATCCACTGTTGCTTCGAGAACTGATCGTTCGCGACAGCGGTAAACGCACTGAGTACGGGAGGAGGACTGACGCCAAGAATGCATACCTAGAGAAACGAAAGAGGGCAGGAGCAGTGCTGAAGGGCACTATATATGGTACAGTGAGGTGTGAAAGCAAAATCAGGGGTGCACACAAGAACAGAGAGTAAAGTTAAGCAGATGAAAGCAGCAAGCCATGAAGAAATGTGACGCAAACAAAATTTCAATGGGAAAATAAACATGAAAGAAGGACGGCGGTGTTTTCCGGAGAAAATTTAAATCAACTGGACGTACGTAGAGGTAAAAGTAAGATATCACAAGGAAAGGGGTTAAAGATAAATGAATCCTACACATGGCAAATGTCGGAGAGCTGGACACCGATAGGAAAATGAGCGCGCAGCGAATCAAGTCCAGTAGGTAATGGGTCCCAGAAGGTAGCCCAATATTTTGGCTAAAATCGTAATTATATCCTTAAGTTAACCATGCAAAATGAGTTCGACGCATGCGAACAGGTGGATACATAATAAAAAAAGCGACAGATATGCGAAAGGTCATTTATGTATCAAAGACAAGCTCGCTGTGACTGCATGGAAGGAACACCTTCTAGAGTGCCACATCAAAGTGACCAACAGCACAAAGGTGACAGAGGATAGATGCACTGCGACACTCGTGGCGGATAGTATTCCAGTTGCAGGTCCGAGAAAAAGATGCTGGGCGTGTATAGAAGAAAAACGCTTGTACTATTTTAACTTATGGAACCGATAGATGCTGTCGTGGTAGCCCTCAAGAGAAACCTGTATACACTTGGGACGAACAGGAAAACGTCAGAAGTGTAACAGTAGCAGCTATCCTTAAAGGCAGTCGCAGAAACCAGTGATTCCCGAAGTGGAACCCTAAAGAGCTGAAGCTACAAGAAGACATTTTGTCATAGTCGATGGGAGAAATATTGAGATAAGAGCGAGTAACACGCTCGTGTTCGATATGGATCTTATAGATACAACGGTGTTTAAGATGTCGGCCCAAGCGACACCACATAGCGGAAGCGATTGCAATGACACAATTAGTCTACTTCGAGCACTTTCTGCCCTGCAGAGCAACCAACATCCCGCCGTATTGACTGTGACGACTGGTAGATGCATGGGGGGGAAGTGAGTTAGGTTAAACATGGGAAAGGGAGGATTAGGCCAAATACCTCCTTAAGAGCAGCCTAAATTGAATGCAACCAAACAGGACTAAAAGTTAAAGCAATTAGAAGAAATTTAAGATGTAGTTCGCCACAGTCCCCTCCCACTCACGCAGGTTCCCATACGTCTGAAAAAGCACCAGACAGCTGTGTTGACCTTCTGGGTTTCATTAGTGATGCGCGTTCCGCTGTCGTTTACCTGGTTCTGACCCATGACTTCTGAATGCCAAAAGCTGGTACCAGCAAGCCATGGGTGACAGCAGCGAATCTGCATGACTGACAGTTGACTAAGATATAGTGCGGATCATCCACCACTGATATGCCAGTTACGAACTGCGCAGAAAACAGCGGTTGGCTCCAGGGCTACGACTTTCCGTATCGCGACAGATGTTAGATGATTGCAGTGGGTGAGATCCTGAAGCTCCACTATAATGATGGCTTAATCTTCAAAACTGTCCGACGGTACACCATTCCAGTAAGGGATGTACAGGCTTCCAAGAAGCGACATATGTGTACCGGTGAGGAGAAGATGGGGGGTTTAAAGCATCATCATCATCATCATACTACACGTTAGCTAGAGGTGGGGAACACCTCAGCTACTGTGCCGCAATACATAGAGAAAAAAGGAGAGAGAAAAGCAACTGGTGCAAGCTGGCTGAGCTACCGGTAACGGCTGGGCATCGTTCCGGTAAGCTACCAACCGGCTGCTGTGCACCAAAAAAAATTGCTATGCAAAATTATATAAGGCTACGTAATGAGATCGTGGTTGGAGGGGGAGGCTAAGATGGATGGGGTGAGACAAAGAAACTCACAGCACGAACGCCCCTGAGGTCGGCTCCTAGCCAAGACAGTGCAGGAATGACGCTCCGCGTTCATCTGAGTTAAAACTAAAAGACAAGCGACTATTGAAGCAACGTGGGGGAGGGCCGAGAATTGGGTGGTTGAAAACAGGGGGATATAAGTAAAGTTGGAACGAGACGATAAGGGTGAAAAAGCTCAGGAGAAGGAAATAAGAAGACGGGAAGGTCTGAGCAGTAGCATCCAAACCCATATCCACCCTGCTCGATGCAGCAGATAGGGCACCGTTGATTATCCTCTGCGGTGGCCAGAGCATCAAGAAATGGTTTGAGGAAAGATTCATTGTATTGCGTGGGCAGGATACTGTCAGATTGCCCAGGCCTAGACAGGAGAACGATTAGGGTTCTCAACCAAAGCCTTTGGTTCAAAAACCTGACCGCAAGGCAGAGGGTTTGGCGTTGGGCTACAAGGAGTCCGTTTTAAGGAATAAGGTGCCACCCTCATTCCAACCCCAACCTGAAGGACCAGGAGGCTGAGTTTGTCTGGCCTCTAACCATTGACCAATCTGGTATGAGTGACTGAAGGTGCAAAAGCACCACCCAGCATAGCTCAACGGATCACTGAGGCACACAAACCATCGCACCACGGTAAGGTTCAGCCTCATTGCGATGGAGGGTTTAAAGCAGAAGCAAATCGTCTGGGAAATTGTATAGAAAGGGTAGCAGTGGTAATAGCTGAAGTTGGGACAAAAGCTGTTCTTTGAATGTCTGAAGTCGGAACTGGAAAGTAAGCCAATAACTATTCAGACACGAAATAAGCGGCCAATCTGTCCTACTAAAATCAGTCGGAAGTTGGCGGTTAGTCTAAAAAAATTGACGACGCTGGCGTGATGTGATTGCACACTAACTGATTAAGAAGTCAAGCTGGATGCATGCATTAGATAGGCCGAGATGTTAGAGCTTCTGTCGCATCAAAACAAAGATAACGTCTGGCCTATTCAAAATTTCGAGACGACTGGTTAATCACACGGTGGTTTCACAGTCCATGGTATTGGCCAACTGATTCTGATTAAAGCATGAACATAAAAATAAAACGAAAAGAAAAAATACAACTAAGTCATCAGGAAAGAATTACGGTGAAGGAATACCTTTTCAATGCCTGTATATAAGACGATACCAGAGTGCGCATCCAAACAGGCGGTGAGACGTGAACTCGGCACGTACACAGCGTCTAGCGCGTTTATGTAAGTCAGCAACTGGTCGCAAAGAAGTGACGAAAAGACTAGCGAAGACGGAGATTTGGCAGGCTTGGCGGAACCTGTGAACTGTTTCGCACATAAACAAGCCAAACGTGAGAATGTTGCAGATGTATCCGATGATGTAGTGAGGTAGCATATCCATGGAATGTTCGCCAAATCATAGGCAAGAAAAGCACAGCGTTTTCCGGTGGATTTACGAGCGGAATTGGGGGATGTAACCACATTTGTGGGGCTGTAGAAAGGACAATCAAGTTCAACAGCAATCATCCAGTGGCGTATGAATGGTAGTTACATACAGATCAGGGGGAGGAGTAACGATAACGACATTTTGTAGAGCGCGTTTTAACAGCCAAGGCAAATATGCTTAGAAAAATGAACACAGAGGTAAAGTGCAATATGAAACCAATTCTCTTTTAGCATTAAAATTTGCTCTGCCCTCACTAAATCCCGTTCGCAGAAGTGAGAGGGTAGGAGGCAGATTAACTGGTGTGAAGCCAGCAACCACTCCGCACGATTTGGTGACCACTTGGTAGTCTGTGGCTGACGCCGCACAAAAAAGTAAAAAGGCGACAGTACTACGCCGGTACATCGAACGACGCTTCGCTGCAACGCGACCACTCACAATGGCGGTTGGGCTGGGTATGTGACGAGGAAGCATGTACTTCGGCGCATTCGAATCGGTAAACACTGGATTAGAACGCAGGCGTGTAAAGTTTTCGACAACTTGCCGGTCCACAAGTTTGTGTCGAACTTAGTAAACACTACCTTGGGACGGCCGCCTAGGACATGCAAGATTAGCAGTGCTCCACCTAGTTACAACGAACTAAAATAAAAACAACAATGTGTCAGCTATACGCCGTAACAGAGTTTCGCTGCCGTGCGACCACCACCAGTCGTACGTGGGCGGAGGATAACGCGAGGATGCCAACTCCTACGCGGATTCGAACCCGCGCCGCAATATTAAGAGACGAGCTCATTCCCTCCAGGTTACAGATCAACAACGAACTGCAAAGCAGCGCGCAATATTCGAAGTGTTTAGTTTTGGAAATGCACCGACAGAGTCGTGGATACATATATATGATCTTCAGATACCATGAAAAACAACGACCCGACAACAGCACGTTCGATTAAAACAGACTGGAATTTATTGTTCAACATCGAAATGAAAAAAGTTGTCAAATTTAAAAGAGTTTTAGTCGCCAATGAGGTTAAATAAGCGTGGAGTAGCAATATCTTAATTTGGCTATTTAGAAAGTCACGCATCGAAGCCATTAACTAGTGTCAATCTTAACAACCAGACAATATATAGGCGACGGAGGAAAAAGTGCACAACCATCGAATTTTGCCACCAGGAAGCTGAGAAGTTTTAACTTACTCATACACATCGGTCGTGACGGAACGAGGTGGGTCAAAACAAGAAAACTTAGTGGAATGGTCCACCAACGGCGAGATAGCCTTCGACTCAATCGACAAATCCAAAAAACGTCGATTGGCGGTCTTAGAACGTGATGACACGGTCAAGTGAGCCATTTCTGAAAATGTAAAAGCATAACAGGAATCAAAAATTAACACTATCATCGTTGTTATGGAACAATTCAATCTCGAAACTGCGTTAAGGAAACAAACGGAGAAGAGAAATCAATATTTGCAGGGGTGCTATCAAGTTAAACTAATAGGAACTATGCATTGGTAAGGCAAACGGCAGCTACATGTTGGTCAACTAGCGGGTGGTGTTTGATACCAAGTTGAGAATTGTTCCTTGAGTAGAGTGACAACTGAGTCCTGCATCCGGATAAGTAATACATTTCCGTAGATAAGTCGTCAAAGAGATATTCAGCACAGATAGTATTCCAAATGCATACGTGCTCTGACGCTAATTCATACAGCGTGTCTGTTCGCTCCAAACTAAGTTGATCATACTCGTTTGACGCGTACCAGACATGGCACCCCAGTTCTAGGGTTATCAACGATAGTTAGATGTAGAAGCGAAACCCGAGACGTAGTGGTCGATGATCTACGCCTTGAAAACTAAGGCTACACACTTGTTATTCAAAAAGTTCGCTTTTTAAGCACGGAGTAAGGTGTGCCTGCGTAGATCCTCAGACCTTAACAGGGATCGATGCACACGGAATGAAAATGATGGCGCGACTCATATACCTATAGAATGTATGGCTATGGGGAATAATATTATAGTTCACAGCTTAGATCTGACATCCTAGAGAGTCTCAATATCAATCCTGACGAAAGGACAAGGTATCTATCGTGCAACCCGGACGACACAGATTTGAGCATGAGTGGGGTACCCGGCGGCCCTTGCAGTATTCTTAACCCAAGCTGGACTGTGGTGCATGTGTGGCAGCGATGCGTCGGTACGGGATACTGGCGTACCGTTGATGTCTTTTTTCCATTCTACTGACAAAGAACCTAATCACATTAAGAGCTGTTTTGCATGACAGCTAAACCGGGCCTCTTCTGTCTGTCGATTGTGGATGCTAGTATTCCCTATCTTATATAAGCGAAGTGCGGTGGAGCCGGCATTTCCACAGTGATGTAGCATGTGGTCCGCGTTGCAAGATAGACGACTTACCCTTTTAGCCACCGACCGGCAGTACAATGGAAGAGGTGCGGCTGATTGAAACGAAGGTTACTCACGCAGTGAATGATGAAAACATAGACATCGTTAAACGTGCTATCAGAGCACAATCAGACGAGCAGTCTTTTGCGTATACCTAGTTTTACAATGTGGCGATCCACAATAGGAATGCGAAACACGGGATGATGACAATGTGCGGAGAAGACTTAGCGTCAGAAATGTATTTGTGAGTTTAGCACAAAGCCTAGAGAAGGACCAGAGGCTAGTAATAGCGAGAACATTCCAAATCGAAAAGACAAACCAGTATGGAATCGAATAGCATACGAACAGCGCTTTTATAGGGAAAAACCACAAGCAAACGGAAGGCAGTAAATCGTCCGACATAGGTTACAAGAGCATAGGCAAAGCACTGGGGTGGCTCATTACGCTCAATTCGGAAACTTCAAGCCACACATACCTCGGAGTATGTTCATGTTTGATATGGCCACGTGCTTTGGCGTGGACCCCGGCACCGGACTGAATGTAGTCCGATGGATCATGGTAGTCTCTTGGTCATTATCCACATTAGAGCCCAACCGAACACGTTTCAGTTTGCACTGAGCTGGCGCGTTCGGGGACTCAGTCCACACAAGCCGCAGACAAATCTTAGGTAATAATGGCTCATCCAATGGCTCATCAAACGTGTTCGGGTCGAAGATCGAAGGAGCGCCAGAGGTTGTAGTCGAAGCATCGGGGACACGAGTACGAGATGAGGCGCCGGAAGCACTGTGGCAGACAGACAAATGAGGCAAAACGCAATCGGCTGAACATACCACTTTCACTCGATGGCAAATAGGTTTACAAAACCGTGCTCGAGGAGATCTCATTTTGTGATGGCCAAAGGTTCACTGATTAACAGACAACAAACCGTTTATTTTTGCAGTAACTTAAAGGTTAGCACACTGTGTTCCTTTCGAACACAACCAGAACTGCACCACACTCGAAAAAACCTCAAAGCCATCACTATAAACGAACTGAAGTAAAACGTAGAAGTGTTCATATGTATTGTGCGCTGTCTGGATCCAGACAGAGGAATGCAGCGGTCTTCACTAGGGCAGACGTGAAAGGCGAAAATGCGAGGTAAACGAACGGGAATCCAGAGTTTGGGGTTCAAAGCTGTGGCGGGATAGATAAATACGGTGGTGACCACGTGAATTAATACAGTGTAACGTAGGTTCATTATACAGGTTAGCGGTGGTTATACCTTGTTATTTGAATCAAGGGATGGAGAGTGCAAAAATCACCTATGCGGACGACAACACATCCCGAACCGATGAAATGTATCAACAGCTACGCATGTGATGTATGCGGAGAAGAGTCACGAGTCGCAGTTACCAGGATGACCACTGGAGAAGCCAAAAATACATTCGATTCACAAAAAAGAACAAACGCTCATAGACTCACCGAAATAAGGTTGGTGTGGAGCCGCAGTGCAAAAGAGACTGCGAGGCCCATTTGGAATGCAAGCGAGTTGGAGTTGGCTTACTGGGTACGAAACTCAGTGATGGTCGGTGGGTATCATAGAAGAGGCTTCCGGCAAGGCTACCGGAAGAGTTAGTTGGTCTCACGGAAGCCAGATTGGACAACCGATTGATATGCGCCTGTAAATCGATGGAATCTCGAGCACGAGGCTGCCGTGGGCAAAGGTGAGTACAAGGTGCATGTATGAAACTGTGAAACGTAATCTGAAGACATGTGACTAGCATGATGAGACGAAAGATGGAGACAAGACACGCTACATGGAAGTCAGTACGTGGTGCGCTATGTGATGCACGGTACTTAGAATAAGGTAAAAGGGAATGACATGGCGATAGGACGGTCATAAACCTGAAACTGCTTAGCGAACAGCAAAGTTAAGTGCATTTCTGTTGAGCCCAATGCGAAACGAAAGCGGCAAATCTTATGCACGGCTGATAGTACAGGACAATCGGAAGAAAGGAGTGTGACTTGTAGTGTGGAATGAAAGTTGCAGTAGGGTTACGTCCTCATTTTGACGATAGCACAAATTGCAAGCAAGTTCAGACGAAGGAGCCAAGTCCGTATGGCGCCGTGTGCGAATTGCCCACATTTCCTGAACCTGGTAAGTCTGTTCGCAGACCTATAAGTGGTGCGCGCAACGACTGGTCTTAGAAAAATAGCTCAACCCGAAAAATGACAAAACTGGTGTACGAAAGTACTGGCGAAGGGATTATTATGAAAGTGCAGTTCAAAACGTAGTGATTGTGACACATCATTCCAAATGACAGTGCAGTAGATAAAAAACGGTGGGAATAACATGGAGAAATACAGCAAGGCCAGAGCGAATAAAAGAACGAACTGTAGTCAAACATACCGGGATGGGGGACGCAGTAAACGTGCGCGAGAAATCTGATTTCCCAGAAGGATCCGTTGGTCCATTGATATCCACCAGCTGAGATAAGGAAGCAGCGAAAGGGCTCAGACAAAGCCTGGTGTGGCGAGTAGACGGACTCCGGACGGTAGGAGTGAGATCGAGCTGATTGTGTGCCGAACCGAGAATGGTGGTTTGTTTAGCAGCAGGAGTAGCAAACGTCCTCGATGCATTGTTTACATGTTTTTCGGCTGTGGAACCAGAGGGTCGACTAACAAATCTATTGAGCGCGGTTGGTGCGACACAAGCGCGGCCCTCGTCATTAACCTCATAAAGGTTGACATAATCCTTAAAAACGTAGAAAGTGTAACATTCAGAATGCCCAAGAGTAAAGAGAGAGTAGGTTCAAAATCAGATGCGGTAGTCGAATGGCGAATAGAACAATCGACGAAGTCATTTAGTTATAATGCGGGTAAGATTAAAAGTTTAAAAGAGCTGGTGGTGACAATAAGAAAAACAGACACAACATAGGGGCCAGTTCGCCTCAATGAATGGAAGTAAGAAGTTCAAACCACCACGTCACTGTAATTATTAGCAATTACTTGGTGAGACGCTAGACTGTGGAAAACCACAAGTGAACAAACACATGGACACTGACGGACTGGATGAACCGCGTGTGCGTGTGTGTTTACCATGCGGTGGGAGATCTAGATATCCAATTGACTGGGTAGTGAAGGACAATTCAGTGCCACGATTTCCAAGAGCAAGTGGTGCAAAAATGTGCACTCCGCAAATCTCTTAGAACGAAGACCGAATCGGCTAGTTTCGATCGCTTTCGCCAGATATTATCTTTCGTTTCACCGGAGCAAGTATTCGTAAACACATATCTACAGGATGAACAGTAAGAGAATGTCAGAGACATAAAGGCTAAATGTTACCAGTCACAGCCTACAAATGCTCGCATTGGCGGTAGCGTTGTCCAGGCAAAATGCTCTTCATGGTGACTAAATCAGCTGCTGCCGCACAGTAACAAGCACACAGACTTAGAAAAAATAGAAAAAAAGGATGCGTCAATGTTGAAAATCAAAATATGACAAGTAAAGGAGTGTTCTTCAATGCAGTCTGGCATTGACAGAGAGTGCTGACACAGTTTGTACTGTGTGACAATAATGCCTTAGTTAGATGAAGCCCTGAGCTAGCCAATGAATGAGATAGTAAATTGGGACTATCGGGTACAACGATGTCGATGACACCCGTGCATTTGTTCCGTTGTTCCTGCTCACTCCGTATGGATCATCAATGTTATCATTAAAATGGCAACGTAAGTCAAGCGAACCGGATGGAAATCAGCTGATCAACTGAACCGAAACGGGAGAAACAAGCCACATGTGCGTTGGTTAGAACCACAAAGACTCGTCTTATTAAACCAGTGATGTTGCCTTTTTGGTGTGGAGAACAGAGAAGACGACAGGAGTGCTTTAAAGGAGACCAGATAAAGATATTGTGGGAAAAAGTTAAGCCCGGTGCCGAGATCACAAGATAGAGCGTTAAAAACACATGGCGATAACAGAAACAGAAAGTGGCGAACAAGCTTGTTTTCAGGGCTTTATCATCAGGATACTAAAACCTCGATAAAGCAATATAGAATAGACACAATGGGTGAAACAAGCGTCTGGTGCTTTTCCGGATTGGTAGCTTACCTATGAGGATTGGAATCTAATTGCGATAAACCAACTCGAATGATACCCAAATCCGTCTACTCACTACTAAACAATGGGTTTAAATTGAGTCACTGAAGGAGGGTGACTAATCGATAAGTCAACGTGATTGGTCTGGTTGAGGTGAGGTCAGGTGAAGTGGCGTGACTACTATTGTTAGTCGCGTTGGTCTGAGGCCAAGGCAAGGTTAAAGTATGGACGAGTTTTGTCTGTGCACATAGGTTATAGAGCCGAATTGTGATCGCTTCTGCTGTAGAGAACAGGCGACATCCGACTGCCCGTGTAACGTCGGGGGACACAGTAGATCGGTGTGAATGCATCATGCGAATTGATTTGATGGTCGGAGTCTACTAAGTGCGACAATAGTTCACTCGCGCCGCTGTAGAGCCAAGCTGGGCAATGCTCGCGAGTCCAAACGGACAGTCGCCTGGTAGTTTTCCCGATATACTTTGCACGACACGATAAAGAAAGGCTAAGGTCAAAAGGTGATTGTAAGTTCGGGGAACCAGCAAGGAGAAAAGCAATCAATCGCACAGAGACCTAAATATCCGGAATTTTGGATCGATTTTACCGTACGGCACAAGATCCTCTACGGTCAATTACGAGGGGAAAAGGTCGGACGGACTCAGTGGAATTAACTAGGTCGTACTAGTTGGAGATTCTATTGTTTCAAGTTCGACCTACTCTAGCCCTAATATACGCTAAAAGATGGCTAATGTAACCAGGTCACTGGAGAGCATAAAAAATGAGCGATTGTATTTTCAGAGTAAATGAGCAAAAAACTGGAAAATACGAGTAGAAAGTGGGAAGCCGGAGCAAAGGATAAGTGAGAACAAGAGGAGAGTTAGTCGCGGTGTGACGCTACTTCAAAGAGGCGTCAGTGAAAATGTGACACCGCGCCCATTAATGCTGGAAAAAGCAATTCCAAACAGAGCAAAGGATGCCACGCAAGATGAGGTAACCGAGTACTGGTGAGGTGGTCGAGATATCGACTTGTGGTGCACGAGCCACCGGTTCTTTAAACTGCCCCCATTAGTAAAAATCTTACTTATCTTTGTCGGGCTATCAGCCACCGATAGGGGCAATTCCACCCTCAAACCGACAGCTGCGTAGTTAGGGTGTCACTTAATCACTGATGTGAAGTTCACACAGACGGAAACACAGGAGCTTAGAGAGCATGATACCATTCAGCTATAAATATCACCGCGGCGAGTTCAGGTGTTGGTGACCACAAACAAAAGTTACAAGCGCCGAACGTTTGCAAAGTACAGCTGAACTACTAGCCATTATCTCCCCGGATGCTTCTTCCACTTTGTCTAACATTTATGGTCTTATCAGCAACATCGATCATTAGTCGGTGTATAACAAAAAAGGAACCAGATTGTGGGGTAGTGTTGCAATCGCGAGAAATGTAGAAAACTCTTCAAGTGCCAAGTTTACTCCAATCGAAACATGTAGAAGTCTAGTTAAATCCCGTTGTATATTCTTCGGGGTAATCAACAGAGACGTTTTGCTCAAAAGAAGAAAAAACGGGGGAAAACGTCGGATGCGAGGTTTACTCATACAGAAAGGTTTTGTGAATCAACCGATGCGAGGCACAATGGTAACCCAGTAAAATGCTATCAAGTTGCTCGGAAGTACTACCTAACGTTTAACAAACGCAAAAGCGTTATTTGTCCAAATGATTGGGTACGCGGATCCCCACGAGGTAACTAGATTAGACCCCGACCACTGAGGAGCTAATCCGACCGCGCCCAGCGACCTTAACTTGCAGAAATGTGTTGCGAATGTTACACTTCGTCGAGAAAAACAGTCACGTCTTCCATCGGTTCACGAGCAGGTTTTAGAGAGGGACATGTGAACTTTCTAGGTAGTGGTAATTCAATTAATACTTGCTGCGTGTCCTCACAGCTTGCAGGCATCGGTTGCTTGCGGAACAAAGCATTTTATTCAGACCGCAATCAGCGTTTGGCTTCCTCACCTATAACAATAATATGTGCGATTAAGGTGAGGAAGATAAGTAAAGACAGAGTAAGGTGAGCACCAACTGTTCGAAATTCCCGTATGAGCAAATACAAGCGAAAAACATAAGGTTGGCTGGAAGGCAAACGAAAAAAGAAACGCACCTCGGGGACAGCTTTCTCCATCTTCCACAATGAGTGCAAACCTGTTGAACAGTGGACAGTTAAGACCAGATCAAGTGTGGCGATAACTGAGACAATTTTTAGCAAGACGTCGCAACCAAAGCATACACCGAAGTTTCCAGATGGAAGCGGAATCTTCAACAAGACTGGCGCAGCCTCATCCAAAGGATGAGAAAGGCTGAAGAGAGTGAAAGGGCAACCCGAAGTTGATGAACTACGCATAGGATGGATCGGCCCTTGAGTTGAAGTAGCCGCTTCGCCAGAGAGGATGTCACGTTCCAGCAACACAAGTGTTTCCATTGGCCAAGCTGCAGCAAGTCGACATGGTAATCGAACTGTGTACCTCTCTCCTTCGTTGTCCAGAAAGCTCAGACGATCAGCCTCAAAGACAGCGACTCCTTCTTGTATCCGTCCTGGTGCCCTCAGCTTTGTCTATGTGGGGAAATTGAAATGGAAAGGCTAGCAAAAAAAACGGAAATTGTATTGGTCGCAAGTAAACAAACTGCACACGACAAAACGGAAAAGACTCTTGTCTGCATCAAACCGAAGATCCCATTTGACACTAAGAAGTAACTGGAGTTCGAAACGGAGGAACATCTGAACAAAATGCCTGCACAGCTTAGTATAGGCTAGTGAAGAAAGCAGCTTGCCAAAGACCTCGAACATCTCTAAAGACAAATGACCGGTGAGTGAGCAGTTACGATTACCAGACAAATGCCACACGTGGAAGGCTGGCCGGATACTGCTGCACCATCAAGATACGGAGCTGAGTCAATCCGGAGATTCCCTTCGGCTTGTCTGAGTACCGTGTATAAAATATTAACTAAAATCATCATCTTATGATACACACAGTTGTGCGATGCAGGATGTTGAAATGTATCTTGTTTCTGATCCGTGAGCACCGTAAAGATACAAATACACGGTGCCACGGTTAGATCCATCACGTAACCCCATTGTAGGGCACCTAACACCCATCTTTAGCTAGCAAGTGTCGCACGAATATCGCCTTTTAAGCCAATACACGGGTACTCATCAACAAACATTCGCCCCGTCTTTTCCGAACCTTCTCTTCAAATATCAGGAACGGTACTCACGGACAGCCACAAGGATACGGCAGTTCTGGTAACGTTCGGCGATCTCTCAACTGATCTTTGCTGACAGGGCCGAACATCCCTGTCCTGTGGTAATTCGCTTGTTCACATAACCCATAATTCATAGCTCTGTTTGAGTATTTATAGGAAAATCATCCGGTAAAGCAACAAAATGAGGCGTACCCCAAAGCACGTGGAGCTAACGACCACTAACAAACGCAAGGAGAAAACCACGAACAGCTTCAGACCAGAATTACAAAATGCTTTTAAAATCCAAGGGATCGATGTCAGTCAGAATTATTATGCGGGCACTAACTTAAGGAACACATTCTGAGTGGCGGGTGAGGAATTACAGACTCGTTCAATCACTTTTTATTAGTTAACTGGAGGTGAGAAACACCTCAGCTATTGGGCCGTAATATATGACAAAAGGCAAAAAGACATACAACAGTGGCACGCCGGCTGAGCCACTAGCAACGGATGGATATCGTTCCGAAGACACAATAGCTGAGGTGTCTTCCATCTCGAGCTAACGTGTACAATGATGATGATGATGACCGTTCCAGAGAGCTAGCAACTGGCTATTGTGGCACAAAAAAGTTGTATTATGCCTAGAAAATGCTATCCTGGTTACAGGAGGAGACTAAGCTGGATTGGGGGGGGGGTTGAAACTCAATACGAACGTCACTGAGGTCGGCTTCTAATCATGCCAACAACTGCATCCAGCCAAACGTGTACATCGCCTTTGGGCCCTAACCAGGGAACCAAGAGGCTCCAACTGCGGTCCCCATTACTTTTGACCAAGTCATCGTCTGACCTCTCTCTTTTGCCATCAATACCCCCGGCGTGTAAACAACGCACGTCGCAGGAGTCGGTGTGCTGACGTGCGCAATAGGTGGACGAGACATCGAATTACGGACTACAGAACAGTGATCTGAGAACCCAAATCAAGAAAGTTGAAAGTCAGAAGAGTTTGATAATTACGTTGAGCACCTGTGAGTGATCTCTTCAGTCGTTCGTGAATTACACGAAGAGGTGTATTTCATTCACACGCAGGGGATGTATCCAGTGGGATGTAGATGGGTTGCGGTAAACAGGCCAATAATTGTATCGAAGAATCAGTGGGACAACGACGGTAGCAAAGATGAAGGGTGTGTGCTTCTGAATTCAGCTCCAAGCCGCAACTTCAACTCAACATAGAAACAAGAAACGCTTATTTCGTTAACACTAAAGTTCGAAAGACAAACCGGTATGTGAATAAGGTGAGTCGTTTCCTCAAAAATTTTATCTTATTTGCCGGTGGTAGTTTAATGTGATATCGAGACATCCGTCAGGCTCGATAAAGTTGGCTAAGTGCAAACTATTTTTCGAAGAAGACAATGAGCAACAACAGTATTGCAAAACCATATCTACAGCGTAACGTATGGAGATGAAAAGAGCGGAAGTGATAACAACTGTTGAGCCATAATTGATCGTCGGGAGCGGCCAGGTTTCGTACTCCGTGATTGTAGCTTTAGAATGTCACGTCCAGTAGCTGGCCGGAGCTGTGACGTTAACATCCCAAGTTAATATGAGCGGATTCAGCCAACACAAGTGATATGGTGCCGTGTTCCTCACAAAATCCAGGTCAACTAGTTGAGAAATGTCCAGCTACCTAATTTTACTTCACTGGAGATTTAGTGAACCCATGAGCCGGATGAGGTGAATCACTACCCTGTTGTTCCTGGTATTATGCCGTTCCACTATCTCACAATTCTTGTTGCTAAGTAACGCATTTGATCAATGAACGGATTTCTAGTGTAACACCATTTCAATGATATGCGTAAACATTGATGCATTCACAAGTTGAAAACTGAGTTTGAGTGAGAAACATGTTGTCTCCTTTGGACCCCACCACCTTATCGCTTGTTACATAACTCGAGGGCCACCAAGAGAAAGCGAAAACGGGGGTGCACTGGCAAGTCAAAAAATGAGTCACATTCTATGCAAAAAAACTGATCACGGTCACATTCTATTTACCAGGATTTAAAACCTGTCACGAGCAAGTACAAAGCGATGTACGTCGGCGGTAAGTTGGGCACGTGCGATTTCATCGGCTCCGCGAACTACAGTGGTGGATCAAGAAGTCCTTGGACCGATCAGTAAGTAAATGCATCGAATGAAAAGCGAGGATATTTTAGAAAACTATTGTAGGCTGGAAGTAGTACTGCTAAGTATCGACTTAGTATCTTTATTTGTTTGCAAGTGATGATCTCTTGGACTGAACACGGTTCCTCTTCCTATAAGTGGATAAATTTGAAAGCCAAGCTGCGATCAGGTACTTATAGAAAACAGCGCATGATGCCAAAGGAAATTCATTATGATATGAATGAGACACTTGATGAAGGATGTCCTTAATATTCCACTGTGAAGAAATGTGCTGAGAATATAACAATGGGCAGGGAGAGCATTTAAGATGACCCACGATCTGGCCGGCCAAAATCTTCAACATCTGATGATCAAGTGGAAGCAATTCAGCGAATGATATTGAATGAGAAAAGATTACCTATTTATAGAATAAGTATTTTCATGAGCATCAGTTATGGCTTAGTGCGTCCTAAAGAACATGTTAGGGATTAAAAAGCTGACTGCAAGATGGGTGCCAAGAATGTTAACACCTGACAAGAAAGTGAACAGTTTGCATACTCGAGTCAAATTTTGACCCGTTAAAAGGTAAATCGCAAAATGTTTTAAAGTGACGTTACCAAAAATGAAACGTGCTCATCGCTTTGAACCAGTCAAAAATTCAAAGAAAAAAAATGGAAATATAGTGGTTTTCTTCAAAAAATTCCGTCAAGTGACGTTCGCAAGAATGGTGATGGCCACCGTCCTATGGGACAACAAATGTGTAAGCATGATAGACTTTTGCTGATGCGTCAGACCATAACAGCCGAGTATTACGTATTAGAATCACGTCGGCTGAAACAAGCAGATAAATGAAAACGGAGACGGAAATCCGTAACAGTTCTTCTTTTACGTGACAATGCACCTGTTCACACTTCCAAAATGGCCGTGTCAGAAGCAGTCATTCGTGGTTTTGAATTGCAGACACACCCCGCTAAGTTACCAAATCTGGACCCCTCAGACTTCTATCCAGGTCCCAAACTGAAATCTCACCTCCATGGTCACAGATTTGCCAATAACGATGAACTGATCGGGGCAGCGGAGCTCCTTGTAGAGGGAGAGTATTCGGCATTCTTCCAAACAGGGATAGCAACGCTTGAACACCGTTGGACTATGTGCACTCAAGTTACGGGAGATTACGTTGAGAGGTAATCAAGTATAATTTGGATAGCTAGCTTCCCTTTTATCGAGCAGAGAAGTTTTTGATCCACACACGCACCTCTCTACCTGACTGTTCGCTTCACCTTTGGACCACCGAGGCGCGCGTTCCCCGTGAACCGTAAATTTCATTACACCAAACGCGCATGGTTGACTGTAGGCATTCGAAAAGAATCGAAGCTTCTCATTCCGAAGCCGCGTTGTCAAAGAAATCCAACAGACCCAGAATTACAGTAATCAGTACGCTACAGTGATCGGCCAAGCAGCCGTTTGGAAAATTGCGATGAGTCCTTTTCCCGGTACAGTAAAAAGTAAGTGTTTCTGGTCCTTGGCAAAAGGTGAAAGAAAGCACACATATTTCCTTAGTAGACCCCACATGGACTGATGAGACGCCAGTACGGAGTAAGGGAAACATACTCGCACCAACGCCTGTCCCTTACTCCTACGTTCTTCAGAAATGCATCAACAATCGGATTATTGACACACTATTCACATGTGAGCATTGTACATGCAGAGAGCATGCATAAAAAACAAAGCTAAAACTTGCAGACTCTGACTAAGAACAAGATCGCCGTACCCCGGAAGTCACACGACCCGTCCGCATAGAAACCGTGGACCAAAAGATATTCATGCTTGAGGAAAGACGCTGCATAGTCCGTTGGACTGATTGGTTTCATGGTGACACTTGGTGGTCGACTGCCCTAGAATCCCGGTACATAAACAGTCGAGGTGGAACGTTGGAGTAAAGTGCAGGTAACAGCTGGAGACTGGAGTGGAGAGTCCATCGCCATTTATAAAGTAAGACAAGGTGCGATCAACTAATTTCAAGCTGTCAATCTACAGCAATGGGAGAAATCAACCCTATGTACCTAAACTCGAAACAAATCGATCATTGCAGAAAAATTAAAAGCGATCTGCCCAAGAACGCCAGAGACATAACTTTTGGCGAAACCGTCCACATGTTATCAGGGATTTTCGACACTAAAGCTCTAATTTGCAATAAGCAAATTAGTGATAACG